GCTGCCCACACCTGTGTACCTGGCTTGTAGCTGCCCTGGCCACCTCCCGAAGGTACCGCTAATAATCCAGAGGGCTACATGCTTTAGGTCAGAGTCAGATGCCAGATCCAATCAGAGTACACTAACCCTGTAAAGCTTATTCAAAGGACTCCATGGAGACCAGACTGTTCTACTCCACAAGCCCACATAAACAAGCAGGGTGCGCAGGCTGAGAAGATGGGGAGAGGGCAGAGAACACCCTGGACCATCTTACCCATCCCTACTTCCCTCATGTGAGCAAACAGCAGCTTATATTTCAAGGAAACGACCACCCTCCCAAACCTGGTGGACCCAAACCTCCTAATGGATGGAACCCTTATACTGCACATTCTACCCCCCTCCAGCCTAGGACACCTAGTACAAACACGGAGCCTAGGTGAGCAATGAGCAACACAGCCGGGCTACACACCTCCAAAACCCAGGCTACAGAACGTCCGCAGTGCCACACACAGGCCACAGACTCAGAGGCAAGCAGACAGAACTCTGCTTCTCTTCCCATGTTACAATTCACCCATTTGGGGACACCAAGAGGCCACACTGAAACACGAAGAATTTCTTAGAGCTGGCCAGCCAACCAGTGGGAATGCCAATGCACTCTCAAGTCTGAGGACCTGGCTTGCTGGTTTTTAATGACAAAATAGCCCAGAGTCTGGTTAAGGTTTAAAGCTCTGGGCTCCCCAGAAGGCAGAGGCTCTGTCTGGATTAGGCTATGTCCTTTCAATCAAATTACCTCATTTTTTTTCCTGAGCCTCAGTTGCACTTGTCTATCTATTTCTCTGTGGTACTGGGAACCGTGTGGGCCTCACACTCACTCCCCAAGTGTTTTACCACTGAGTCACATTCCTGCTCTTGATCGAGTTTTCTTTCTCTTTCCTTGAGACAGGACGCTGCCATGTAGTCCAGGTTGGCTCCCAACTCATGACCATTCTGCCTCAACCTCTTGGTGCAGAGACCATGGACATGTGCTCCTCAGTCTCCTTAAGTTTAAAGACCATGAGTTGGAGTTGTTTTGTCTTTTTCCCAAACACTTCACAACTACTTACTTACATTTAGCTCTAATGAAAGGAGCTTCTGGTTTAAGTAAGAGAAAACATCTACCACGTAAATACCACATATGTGCAGGAATATAACCTCAATCTAATTTTTAAAAACTTCTCTTCATATAAATGAAAACACTTTACAAACAAACAAAAATCTGGCATGTTTGGGTGCTCTGGTACCATGGGCATTACTTCCTTTTGAGACTCTAAAAGCCAAACACTTATTGTGTTTGTTCTAAAATAAGTACAATGAATGGAAGTCAGCAGCCTGTGGAAACAGATCCCAAAACACTGTGTGACCTCAATGAGAGGACGGGGAGGGGGTCCACACCGTCAATACTGGAGCATTGGGAATGAGCATCTTCCCTTCCTGGAGAGGACAACGGGATGCCTCTGTCCCACAAATGGGTGTCATGTGTGACCCCAAGCTTTCCGCTGTGTGCCGGGGACTGAGTATCTATGTTGATCAAACTCCTACCTCGAACTCTTACCCTTCCCTGCCTTCACCAGGCCCTTGAACTTGGTTTCTGAGTAGTTCCCAGACCCCTCATGTTACACTATCTGTTGACTGAAACACTGTGTAAGAATTTACTGCTGCATCGGGAGTGAACTGGAATGTTTCCCTGGTCTTTGCCGGTTTAGTGCCACGCCCTGCTGCCCCCATTATCAATCTGCAAGGTTACGTGTGTAGAACTGGTTCCTGCCATTATGGAAAACTCATGAACATTAAACAGGATAAATGTAAGAAACAAGAAGTCATGGAGGAGAGTGAGCCCATACAAGCGTGCTCTGGTAGCCCACATGAGGAGCTACCATTCCCTGAGGGCTAGAGGCACCTGTGTTAGGCATGGCGTCTCTGCTGGAACTCCTCTGAGCACTCTACAGTCTCTAAGCAGACGGCTGTATCAGAACAGTCTAGCTATAGACACAGGTAGTCAGGTCTGCCTATGACCTTGTTGGGGCTTTCCAATCGTTCATCAGCTCGCACAGGTGCCTGGGCCATTTAACAGGAAGTAGACTTCACTGTGAGTCAGAATGCAGGCCTTGGAAAGACCTCAAGGGTTTCCTTGCTTAATCTTTACAGCTCCTTGGTTACCTGGGGAGCAGCCATGAGGCTGACAGCAGGGCGGCTGCAAACTATGTGCTGCAGGTAGAGGTGCCTAAGGAACCCGGGATGCATGGGAAAGGGGAGGGAAGGCAGAACCCAGAGACGCCATGCTGCTTCTCAGGGCAATCCTCGGCTTCCTTGGATTTGTTACTGGGAAGGATGAAAAGCAGAGCGAGACAGAAGGAACAGAACAGGACCAAATGCCCGAAAGCAGGTGACTGTCTGTGAGGCAGAGGAGGAAAGAGATGGCAAAGTTCTAGAATAGCCTGGCTGCCACAGGACGGGGCAGAATACAGCCATGGAAGTGTGGTCAGTGCTCACTTACTACAACAGAAAGAGCCGGTGCCCACAATCCAGCTGGAGAGTCCGTGGGATACCCCATAGCACTTAGCCAAAGTGTCCCCAGGTTACGGTTTGTGTTTTCTGACTGGGTCTCGTGCAGCCTAGGCTAGCCTCAAACCTAAAATGTAGCTCAATGCCCGGTCCTCCTGACTCAACCTCCAAATGCCGAGGTTACAATTATGTGCACCATACCTAGTTTACACAGTGTTGGGGGTTGAACTTAGGACTTGTGCATGTCACACAGATATTCTGCTGACTAAGTTACATTCTCAGCCCCTGTTCCCAGATTGCATCGCTGGTAAGTTTTGTTCGGGGTCTATGACCAGCAAGGCTTTTGACCTTTACCCTTCTCTAAGGATCCCAGGCCTGTATTACTCTGTTCCCTGCCAATCTCGGACACAGAAGCAAGGGGACAGAAGTGGCTTGTCATGTGTGCAGATTTAGACCAAAGGGCTTCGGACTGACTTCTCCCAACTGCCATCTGAAATAGGAACTTTCCTGGGGAGTTTCCTCCTAAGACTTCAACTTTAAGCTGCTGTTTTTGCAGAACTTCTAGTCCCTGAGGCTAGAGGCCACCCTTCCTTCTGTCCTGTCTTGCTGTTTTTTTCTTCTAACTTGCAGCTGGCATCACCATCACTGACATGAGTATGTTTCCCCTGGCAGGGTCAAATAGCCCCGCAGGAGAATTCCCCCCCTGAATTGCACTGTCTGAAGAGGTGGGCGGTCAAAAATAAACCAGTAAGATAAAACAGTTCCTCAGGCTGGCCCCCACTCTTAGCCCCAAGTTATAACTTTGTTTTCTGGGGTTCAAAGTTTCCTCTTTCAGTTTAAATTTCCCCAGGAACATATGTCAAATATTTAAGCCTTTCATCCTGAAGACGGAGCCAGATTGAGGAGCAGTTACGGCCATGAATCTGCATACAGTGGTGTTGACGGAGCTTTTAGGAGCAAAGGGACACACAGATGCAGGGAGGACTGCTCTACAGTGCCCCTCCTCCTCTGAGCACAGGTCTGAAGGTGGAACTGGAAGCTGACGCCTACATACTGCAGGGTGGGCTTCTGTCTCACACCCAGAGTGGGAGCCGTGTGTCACAGAGCCCTGGCAGTCACAAAGCTAGGCATTTACCGTCCTGGAAGACCCGCTCCACGTTGAGCCCATAGGTGGCGCACGTCTCATAGTACGTGCACCGCTTCAGGTCATTGGAGAGTTTCCGTGCCCTGGCATCGTCGATGACCCGTGGGTTGGTGGAACTTATGGCATCTGCAACAGACAAGGGCATGAGCTCGTTAGCAATGCTTCCCATGACTCTAGAGCCCACGTGACACAGGCCTGTCCCACAGCCGCTGCTTTCTGCTGGTCTGGGGCCCTTGCAACGCAAAACCCATTACAGCCAGGGCAGTTATCTTTCCTCCCAGAAGCTGGAATTCTGAAAATAGTTCACCCAAAATAACAGGCTCAAACTATAGAATAGTGGGGGCAAGGAGGCATGCCCCTGCCCTGCCATTTGGCATGGCATGCAACAGATTTTCAAGGCCAGCATGAAAACAGATTCATAAACCTATCCTTTGGCCTCACTTCCTGGTGTATCTCAAATAAATAAATATATAAACAAGAATAACAAAAAAACCAAATATAAACCCAATATTGATTTGGGACATTCAGTGACAATACCATCCCCAACGGAGGCTCCTCAGAGTCAGTTCACCAGTGAACATCTGTCTTGCTGGACAAGTACATCAACATATCATTTACACCAACTAAGGAAAGAGGCCCTTTATAAAGGTCTAAACATCCCTTCAAGCAAAACAGGAAGGGAAAAAACAATTAGAAACCATAACTTCTTAAATTCTGTGTCTAATTCAGGAAGCACAGGCCATTGAGACCCCACCTAGCTCTCATTTTATTTAGCCTGGGGCCCTGACAATCCTGCAGCTGCTCCACCCATAGATGAATACAGTTCTGTGACACAGAGGCGTCTCTGGGCCTGCAGCTCAGCTCAGCTCTACCTGGCCCCATCATGCACCCACTTTAACTTGGCAATTTTTCAAACCCTGCTTCTCCTTCTATTTGCAAATCTTTGGGGGTAGAGCTGACCTAACCTAAAGAACACTGAGCCCCCTCCCATCACCCATGTTTCCCCGCCAAGAATAGGCATAGCACTCATCCTTGCCTTAGAAGATGCACTGAGCTCAACAACTCTCCCAGCACTGACCTCTGAAGGCCTAGTATCCATAAGCGTGAATGGCTCTTCAGCTCCTTCTCGCAACTTAACAACCTCTGGCCTCTAAAAGTCCCTTCCCTAGCCAGTAGAAAGAAAACCCTGGATACCCTCTCCTGTCACCTAACCAGCCTTACTGCCTATGTCTGCAGTAGTGGCACAGGTGTCTCAGAAGCCCAGCGTTCATGGGTACTGACAGCAATCATGGGGAAGTCACACACAGTCCAGCTTCTTGCCGCAAGTGCCCTGGGTCCCTTAACCCATTACCAGCAAAACTCTAAGCAGGGCCTCAGAACAACTGGTCCTACATTGAGATCTAAGAGATAAAAATAAACCTCGAGCAAGTTTAAGTACTATGTTTACAGACTGATCCTTGACACATAATTACATACTTTCCACCCATTCCTCAGTGTACCCTTCCAGAGCACTGAGAGGTAAGCAGGCTCATCGGTCACAGTAGCTCTGGTCTAGGTGTGTGTGGGCCCAAGGCCTGGGCTCTTACTCTGCTTTTCCACCAATAAAAACAAACACTGGTATGCATGAGAAAATGCAACAATCTAATCTGTTCTTTCTAGCCCAGCTGTGAGCCATGCGTCACCAGGAGTAGGAAAGTACTGTGTCTCACATGCAGTCCACATGGCTCTTAGACACCAGGCCAGCTGCTGGAAATTGCCTGGCCAGCCAGAGGGGAAGCACTCATTCAGAATTCCTCTCTCCTGTTCCAAGACAGCTGTGGGGAAAACCTGCCCGGGAGATGCACCATTTGAAGGCCTTCCAGAGCAGTACCTCAGCCATGCTGCCCATGCTGCCCATGCTGCCCACTGCCAACCTCTGGGGGCAGGTTTCAGGACTTCCTTAGGTGCAAAATGCACAGATGTGCCAGTCCTTCCACGAGATGGTGTGATACTTGAATAGGACCTGTATTATCTGCCTACATACTTCAAGTCATCTCTGGGTTACCTATGATATCTGTATAGCATATGCACCGTGTGTATCTGTAGCTGGCCTGGAACTTGTTACAAAGACCAGGCTGGCCTTGAACTTCCACTTACGAGCTGCTATTAAAGGCATGGGCCACCATACCAGGACATTGCTTCTGTAGCCCAGTCTAGCCTTTAGTGGCTGCCTTTCTCAACCTCCCTAGTGTCAGGACCACACGTGTGCACCACCACACACATGTTTAGTACTTTTAATCCTTCGTGGTTGGGCCCCATGAAGACAGGAAGGTTGATGGCACAGCGGTAAGAACCAAGGCACTTTCTCTAGGTGACCAGCAGAGGGAGCTATAGGAACAAATATGTCTGTTTTGGTTTTAGGTTGGGCTGCCCTTTGGAGCTGCAGATTTCAGATTGGCTGGCTGATCACCGCATGCACCAAAACACAAGAAAGAATGTTCTCCATGAAAATGTAACTCCATTATTTTACAAGTGACAAACTGAGGACATACAGTCTGTCCATCTATACACTGCTTCTCCAACCCTGCCCATAGTTTGAGTCTTGACCACACTTCAACTGGTAAATACCAGATGTACCAATTCTAACAGAAATAACAAAAACAGTTCAAAATTGACAAAAAACAAAAAGGAACATTATAGTTTTGCTTAAATTCTTGGCTGGACTCCAGTGGCCAATGAGAGTGAGTCTGACTTAGTAACAATCACCTTACTAAGGGGCCGTGTTCTAAGTGACATGGAAGACAGTAAGAATCAGAGCCTCAGGTTCCCTGGGCTGTGAGATTCCTGGAGACAGAAAGGATGAGGCTATCAGAGCTGGTATTCATTTAAAGGGACAGTAAAAGTTGAAATAAATCACATATTTGTTTTAATAAAAATAAATAAAAGTAACCTGATTAAAAGATGTATTATGCAAAAGCCAATTAAGACATCATAACGCAGAAAACACTGGATTTTCCTGAAGCTTCTGGGGTGTCTGTGGGGTGGGGTCATTTCTCTCTAAGGTTGACTGACTTTTCCATGGAACCAATCTGGAAACACTTCAGTCCCCATTTCCAGCTTCAAGTCATTCCAAATCCCTCCATACTGGAATCATGTCCACAAAAACCTTTAAAAACACCCGTGCAGGGCTGGCACTTACCCTGGGTCCCCACCAGCACGAGTGGAATCTCACTGGTGTTCCTATAGTTGGCCATTCGGCTGTAGTAGTGGTAGACAGTCTGGAAACTGATCTCATCCTCCAGGCTGAAGACAAAAATGACCGCGTCCACCCACATGGCAAACTGCAGAGAGAAGAGTGGAGAAAGGGCAGCTGAGGGGGCGCAGGAGGAGGTGTGAGGCCATATCTTTGTGAGCACCAGGCGACCCTTGGCTGCTGCCTGCTGCTATGTACTGTGGTGAAGTCACCCAAGTCTCCCTCATGTGCATGGGAAAGGGACACTGCCACCCTCCCGGCCCCGGGTTTCCACCAGGGCCTTTCAATTTCTGAGAACCCAGTTTGTGATTCTAAGTGTCAACCTTCTGGCCTGACCCTACATATAGAAGGCTCCCCATCTGAGGACAGGTGTGTGTGTTTGAGGGGGGCAGTTCCACATAGCCCCCTAACCTTCAAAAGACTTAGTGGACTGGGGTGGGGGAGGGCACTGCTCCTCTGTGGCCATATGGTCTGCTCAAAACTGTCCTGGTGCCCACACTGCCTACCACCTGAGAAGGATGGTGCCTTGTCTGGAGAGTTCCTGGTATAGCAGAGGCTGAGCTGCCGCCAAGCTCATTCAGCTCCATGCTGGGAAACTACTACTTATTTTTAGGAAAGTGAAAAGGGGAGCAGTGAGGTTAACATATACCCAGCCCTCTTATGTCATCTTATTTACAACAGCTCCCAGGGAGGGTGAAGCCGAGGCAGTGGGGCTCCCCGCAGTGCCCAGGAACTCATTCTCAGAGAAGCTGACATGGTAGCTTCCTAGATCCTGTCTGAGTCTGACACCAAACACCCTTCTCTTTATGTGTATACAGAAATAAGAGAGCCCCTGCTCTAAAAGAAGCTTATCCTGGGTGTTTATGGCCTGAGCAGGGCTCCCTATTCATCACTGCACATGCATGCATGTGTGCATGCATGAATATGTGTGTGCGCACATGCACACACATTAATAAGGAACGCCCACCTACAAAAAAAATGCTCATTTAAAAGTGGAATATTTACACAAGAGTCTTAAAAACCCTCGTTTTCGAATGGCTCATGCTCAAGTCAAAATGACCTTGTGGCAAGGTTTTCTTGAGGTAGACCCACAGGCACTGTCAGATGCACAGGACGAAGAGTAGTGCCCTCACAGAAGCCTGGGGATCATCTGACATGGTGCCTTTACCTCGGTGATAGCTGATGTCAACTGTTGACTTGACAAATCTATGATCCCTAGGAGACGGGCCTCTGAGCCTGTCTATGGGGGACTACTTTGATCATGCCGATAGAGATGAAAAGACATACTCACTGTGGCAGAATCACCCTCTCGGTGTAGACCCTGGACTGTATAAAATGGAGTGAGCTGAGCACCGGCATGCATTAACACCCTGTTTTCTGCTCCTGGCTGTGAATGTCATGTGACTCGCTATTTCAAGTTCCCCGCTGCCCTGACTTGCCTGAAATGATGGACTGCACCCTGGAATTCTGGGCCAGATAAACCCTCCGTCTACTGAGTTATAGTAATATGTCAGTGTATTTTATCACAACAAAGAAGCGACTAAGGCACAGCCTCTTTCTGGAGGTGGAAAACAGAAGGTCTTGCCCTGTACATCACAGGACAGGGGCTAAGTGGCCTCAGGGAGGTGGCAGCGCCTGACTTAAAATCTGGAACACATTTCTACCTCTATGCAGAGGATAAGCCTCCCTGCCCACTTCTCTAAAGGATCCTGCATCAGAAAATTGCAATTTTGAAGGAAAAAAGAAACCGAAGGGCAATAGAGTAGCAGTTTCCACCACACCCAAAGCTAAAAGCAGTGACAATTTAAAAAAGAAAACAAAACGAATGAACAAAAATCCACTGTCAGTTTCTTTTAGGAGGCCATGTCTTCAAGTAGAGTCTATCAGCGGATTTATAACAATGCGATTTATAACCACACCCACAAGTGAGCAAGGCTCTCTGCCGTGATGTTCCACAGACAAGTCTTTAACCAGGGGAAACATGTGGGCTAAATAACATTTACGGAAGAGCCCATACTAGAAGGGCTGCGTGCTCCGTTTCTCTGAGGACACACTCTTCTCAGGGAGCCCACACTGAAAACTCATAGCAGACCGCACTCCTGCATACCAAGCCAAGTGAGGAGAAGAGATTCTGTCTTTGAGTGGCACTGGTCAGAAGCCAAAGGTCGCTGTGATGCAGCAGAAGGTGGCAAGTGTTCAGGGAGCATGCCCTCTAATACTATGCAACCCACATTTTTCATTTTCTTGTGCCTTCATGATCTTTTTTGTACGCTCAAGTATGCCGTGTGATGGTTTAGGTCAGTCTGACAGCATCTAGAAACACGTGGGAGATGGTCTCTGGCCATATCTGTTGATGACTAACTTGACTGAGTGGAGATGTGAAGATCCGCCCACTGTGGGTGACACGCTTTCCTAGCTGGGATCCAGGACTGTGCAACTGGAGAAGGGGGCTGAGGGGCAGCGAGTGGTCACCACTCTGCTTCCCAATGGAGGATGTGGCGGGACCAGCTGCTTCTGCCTTCTGGCCACGATGGACTGACTGTGCCTTTGAACTGTGAGTCAGAATAAACCCTTTCTCCCTTCACTTGCTTTTCATGGGGCATTTTATCACAGCATCAGCAAAAGAAGCTAAGACACTGCATCAGTGAATGACACTAAGGGGAAATTTTTTATGGCGGTACCCTGACTATGCCTCCTAAGGGCTTTTCATAGTTCAACTGGCAGCATTCTCCTGGACCCTGGTATTACACGGTGACAGAAATACAGCAACTCACAGCATTTCCAGGGGTGCTCGGTGCTTCAGCACCATCTACCTTAGTCACCACCACTACCTAATTCATCTTTCACAGGGAGAGATACTCAAGACAGAAATGTCCTGTGTGGTGTGCCCTGGAGGGGTGGGGGCTGGGTTTAGGTCTCGGCTAGAAGATCAGAGCATCAGTAATACAGAAAGCTGGATAAAAACAGTGGTGCTATCTTTTTAGAAAAATTTCAAGGGAATCACGATACACTGCAACTAGTGCTCAGTGGGAGTGGGGGCGCCCACTCCTGTGATTCCCAGAAACAGCAAGTGGGTCAGCCTCCCAATTCCACCCAGTGGACCCTGAAAATGATGCTACTCTGGGATCAAACTGGGGGTGGAAGACAATTTTTTAAAAGCACAGAAATTTCTAAAAGTGACCCTGACAGACTATGATAGCAGATATATCTGTTTTTCCTTCCTTCTTAAAAACTTTTTTTAAAAAAAAAAGCCACAAAGAGCCAAACTTCATGGGTTTCTAAATTCCCTTATTTTAAAACTTGACATTTCTTGTTCAGGCTTTTAGATAAAGTCAAAGAGCAAAAGACAGTCTGGCTTGGATGTCCATGAGGTACTCACCTGTGCCTCCGGGGGGCCCCCTTCATCCCTAATCAGCAGCAGATAACTCTGTCCATCAACCACAATCTCCTTCTTGAACCTGCCACCTGCCACACACAAAAGGCACCATTACAGAAGGCAACAGAGGATTGGGGGCAGACAGACACGGGCTTCACTTGCGGAAAAATACACTCTAGGCCAGGTGACCGCTGCGGGCAAGCTGGCTGGGAGAACAGAGGAGTAGATTTTAGATATCTCCCACAGTGCTGCGTTTTTAGAGCTGAACTCTGATTGAAACATTTGTCTAAGAACCCGTGCTCCCTTCTGGTTAGCAGGCACAGCCTCCTGTTGCAATGCCAGGAGCCCTGGCTGAGGAGCGTAGGCTTTTCATGTAGAACTTAATACATAAATCAACAGATTCTCACCCACTGGGAAAGGGGCGAGGGTGGGCTCTCAAAACCCAGAAATGCTTTTTCATGCTTAGCAGCATCTGAGAACCTGCATTCTCCTCAAGGGAAACCCAGTGCTTGGGAGGAAAACATACAACAGCATGAGGATGGTGTCTCCGGAGTCACAGGTCACAGTTAGGGAAGGATGCCCGACTACTACACACGTTAGACAAAGCTACCAATGGAACTGCACAGTCGAGACAGAGTGGTGCAGCCAACTGACAAGCAGGTGTTAGAGACCACGTGGGGTTAGCGAGAGACCGCCTGGGGCCCTGCTAGGATGTCAGGACAAAAAGGAAAGAAGACTGGCAGAGGGTGGCCCAAAGTGGGCCACCAAACACATCCAGGACTGGACTACGAGGTCCGCACCGTGGAGACAGGCCACCCCCAGAGACACCTGCTCTGCTCTGAGACGCTCAGGGCTCCCGGTCGCCTCCAGTCACTCTCGCAAGGGCTTCCTTCTAACACTGGGATAGGCATCAGTTCTCGGCTCTCATCTTGAGTCCCCTGCATAGATGCCTCACAGAAAGAACCCTAATGAACCCACTGAACTAAAAAAAAAGTTTCCAAGAACATTCCAGAGCCACTTCTGCCACAATCACAGGTCTGGACCACCTCATCACCAACAAAGCTGAAGAAAAAACTACATTCTCCACACCAACTCAGTGTCCAAGGCCCTCATTAAATAAGTGGTTACTGAACCCAAGGGGACTAGCCATCGTTCCTATACAAGCATATGCAAATGTGAACACACACACACACCAGCCCTCTCTCCTCCTGTCTGCACCTAACCTGACTTAACAAGAAGTTCTACTTGCCTTTCCTCACCTATTCAATGTGGAACACAATGAACCCTTTCAACACCATGAAACACAAACACACCCTTGTGCTGGAATGTTCCACCCTGAAAAGCAAAGCAGACCCCAGGAAAGGGTCTGGTGGAGATGTTCTGGGGAGTGGGGTCTGTGTCAGCAGGGACAAGATGGCTGCCCCCCAGACAAGCTTTAGGACTTCCCACATGGGCATGTCAAAGCCACAGGAGAACTCTGTGACTTTAGGTCCCCAAATCCAATTCTTCAGTTAGAAGAGAGATGACTTCCCATTGTAGAAGGGCTCTGTCACAGCTGACACAGCAGACACTCCAAGTGGAACAGCCGGAAGCTCAGCTGTACCCAATTCTACCACTATCAACTCTGTTTAACCAGCTTATGCCCAAACCAGCCTCATCACAGTTAACCTCCTCCACCTCAGTGACCCCAGCAAGAAAATGCCAAGGATGCCACCCTGGTGGGTAAGAACACAGAGTGTAACACAGCAGTGTGAGCAGCACGGGTCGGCACGACTACAGGTGGTGTTCACAATCCCAGCCAATGTCAGCACATGCTTCAAAGAGCACATGCCAACAGTCAAAGCTTGCCCACCGAGGCGAACAAACACAAGGTGGGATAGCCGTCAGCCTGACTTCCTTGATTTTACTTCTGAAATAAGATACAGGAAACCTGATGTTTCTTGATGAGACAGATGAAGTCAAACTTCAAAGGAAAAACAATGTTCGCAAAGCAACCTGCCACTCTTGGCTCTGGGAAAACCCCTTCATTCCTACCCTGGGCCTAGAGATCAGGCTAGGAACACTCACCAGGGTTTGGAGGAATCGGAATGTGTGTGGTAATATAAAAGTCTTTCCCATGGTCCTCTGAGATCCAGCTTTAATGATACCTAAGTGATGTAATAGTCCAGCTGCCAGAGAAGCCATCTCTGTGGGTCACGGCACCTAACAGGCAAGCCCAAGACGTGCTCTGAAGCTCCGCCCTCATAGGAGAAGGTGTGTATATGGGTTGACCTAAGGGTCTCCAAGTAGGGCACAATTTTTTTTTTGGGTTTGGCTGGGACAGTGGGTTCCAGGGGTGGAACTTTGCCTATGTCCTATCTTCACTCTACAAGTGCCACCCAGTCATTCCAGCAGCTCCTGCCCAGTGCCAATGGAGGGAAACTCCAGCACTGGATCTATATGGGGCTTCTTTGTCTTGTTCTGGATGGTCTGGTCTCATGCTCATGTCCCCATTACAAGGCATTGTCTCCAAAGCAAGAGGCAAAGAATGGGACCCTGAAGGGTGCTGCAGCAGCAGCCCTGGCTCCCCCTCTCCAGACATAAACAAGGACTCTCTCCAGTGACCATCCTGGGGCTTCTTCATCTTTACAGAACAGATGCCACAACCCCAGCACTTCCAAACTGAAGAAGGCACCTTCTTCCACCCCAGAGGCCTGTGACAGCTTTGGCAACACTTATATCCTGAGGTACAGAACACGTGATTCTTATTTCAATGCCTCACTTCCAAGAACACCCATGGGTGATAGGATTGTGTGAAGGCTCCAGAATCTTAGCAAAATCGGGGAACAAAAGTCAACTAGAGAGAACCGCCCCAAGATAGCCCAGCCAGGGACCAGGGAACAAAGACTGTGAGAAAGCAGACCACGATTAAAGGGAACACCATCACCACCTGGTAACTCTGCTGAACCAGACACACCAGCGTCCCAAGAAACCAGGCCCCCGTAACTACCAAAGTAACACACGACACTTGTCTTCCATCGTTTCTCAGAGGGAAGTGTCATTGGCAGGAGGCTGGTGCCTGGCTATCTTTGCGCTGAGGTCGGGATCCCAAGTCAGAAATGCTAGAAATGGGAATTATTCCAGTGATCACAACAGTTGGAGTTCGGGACCATTTGCCCAGGCTTCATCAGCCAAGCACCCTTGACCTGAATATTTCACGTTTTCTGAGAATCAAAAGTATTGTAGATTCTGAAATATGTTGGATTTTGTGTTTCATTGTTTACTGCTGAAAATTCAGGATGTAACCAAATTTCAATTTCAATTTTATTATGAATTTTTAATGGAATCTAAATGTCATCTTTGCCCAAGGGTCATGGAAAAGTTCTCGGCTTTTCCAACTTTAGTGTATGTGCTGCCAACATACGTGCAAGTACTTACTATAGATTTAAAGTGTCTATTTGATATCCAAATTCCAAATTATTCTCTTACAAGTCTACTTTCTCCAGCCATACATTGGCAGCACCACAGTTGTCCTATGAAGCTGTCCCAAAAATGACTGCCAACTTTCTCTGACTACTAGTTATAATCACCCAACATTACGTTGCACCAAGGTAGTTCATTTTCAAAAGGTGTCACCAATCCACACCTGACCTCTCTGGTAGGTATCAATGACCTATGGTACCCCATCTGTGTGTGAAGGTGCCAATGCCAGGGTTGGGCCCACCCTACAACTCAGACTCCCACACAGTTGCCTCCAGGGCTGGAAACTGAGACAGTGGTGCAGCCGTGTTCTCTGGCTTTGAAGCACACTTTTAAAGGTCTGATTAGGGGTGTTTCTCACCACCCTACCTCAGCCAATTTCAAGGCGACTATTCTGAGACTCTCACTGCAGAAATCAGCTCCAAATCTGGGACACCACATGCCAGACAACTGGGTTCCTTCTGTTTCAGCTCACACCAGGAGGAGCCGTCATGGTTTATTCCTCTTGCATTCTGGGCCAGGGTCCCATCTCTGTCCAGTTCTGATTTAAGGGGTAAAAATAAGAGTAAGTGGAATTTTCCTATTCCAAGAAAGGAACTGCCTGGAGTTACGCACTGCCACAGATGTCTGCTGTTCCTGTTTCATCATTCTCAATAACTGGACTAAAAGTTATTACCGTATCAACAGTTCTCCAAGCAACCAAGAGCGCCAACAATGGTAAGTGCCTCTTACACTGACAAGGCCAAGCATCTCATTGAGTTATTTCCCACAACTGTCTGTGACACATTCAGTAAAGACAAGCCCAGGGTCTCTTGGGAGCCATTCAGACACTAAGGTACAGAGAGCCCTTCCCTTGGTCAGCCTGCAGGAGAGCCGAAACATCCGATTCCTCAACCTTCCACTCTTCCACGTCAATGCCAATCTCCACATGACCCTAAGGTGACCCCGTCTGCAGACAGTCCACGAGCCTGTGTGTCATTCTCCTCATTCTGGGACTATGTGGAAGACGAAGGCAACTGAATAAGCCTTCTCCCACTCCACACTCAGTGGACTATAGCTCAAAACTATCCCTATGCCTCAGAGACCAAAAGGACAGACCCCCTTCAGAAACCACCAGGTCTTATTGGTGTTGACTGTCTGATCATGCATGCACAAATGAGGGCCTAAATAAAGTTACACTGAGCCTGAAGCTGCGTTTAAGGCCCCTACAAAGGAGAGGACTCATTCTCACAACTGAGCCTAACCCAGTGACTCTTGCTGCAGGTGCCACCTGGCCCAGAGCCCGATGCCGACAAAGGAGGACGAACAGAAATGGATGGTGCTAGGTTTCCTCCACTTTTAGGAAGACAACTTTCTATTCCCCTCAGTTTCATGATAAAGCTGGCAATGTCCCTGCAAGTGTTGTGGTCTCCCTGTTATCTAAGCACAGGGGACTGAGAAGCACTAAGGATGGCAGGCCTTCTGGGTTCTCCCTAAGGGAACAGAAAGCAAACTAAATCACAAACGTGCCAAACGCCTTTCAATATTAATGTGGCTTTTAAAACTGTTAAGTCAGTACTTTATGAGATTGGGGCTTTGGAAAAGTTTAGTATTGTGATATTTAAAAGGAATTTTGGACCACATAGTGTTT